CAATAGTAGTTATTGATGTAAGTTAACTACATAATATATAATATAACTATTAAAAGTAACTTTAAAATAGTAGTAAATCAAAACCTTTACCTAACCATAACTGGTTTTTAATACTGAAACCAAAACCGTAAACTTTTTTTTTTAGTTTTTGAAAACCAGTAATTAAAATCTTTTATATAAAAATCAGTTTTCAAAAATGTTAATTATTTTGTGGTTTCCGTTCCTGTTTATGACGAAAAATGTGAGATGTGCACGTATGTGCACCTGGAACTCTACGGAAATAGTAGAATAATATTATTCAAAGTCGTCTCGCTAAATCGGTTACTTTGTTATTGGATTTAGTTGACGACGATCACGTCACAGGGTGGGTTATGGTTAATCAAACCGAACGGGATCGCGGATATATATATATAGGTAACCGAGCATGAAACGGTCACTGTATAAACTCGCTAGGGGCTATTTATTGTCAGCGGAAAATTTACATTAAACAACTGTATACTATAGCAGTTGAACGTTGGAGTGTGCAAATCTCGTCTCCGGAAACCGTGCCACGTCCGCAGGAAATCTTTTGTACACACACACACACACACAAACACATATATATATATATATATATATATATATATATATATAATATACATTAGGCAGTGCGTGGCTATTCAACGTTTTACTTATAAATGTATATATAAACGAGTGAGTATAAAAAAAATAACAAATCGTATCATAACTTATATATGTATGTTTGTATACCTATATGTATGTAAGAATTGTAATAACGTGGGTTCTTCATGGGAGCTTCGAATGATTTATGTGCAAGTGTAATATTTGCCTCATTCCACTATAATACTGTTCCATGTATAGTTTCACATTGGTATACGGCTTTAACCACATAACCTGTGCAACACGCGTATCTCAACTCACTGTCTGTAACTCGTTCCCGGGTAACATACACGTTCGAATATCACAGGAGCACCAGCACCGTGATGTCTCGTGTGTGACGGACCGATAAGAAATGATATTAATAACCAAATCCCACGTATACGCCAAAAAAAAAAAAAGTAATAATAATAGTATAAGTGATAGCAATCGTAGCAATAGTAGTAGTAATAGTAGTAATAGTAGTAGCGTAAGTATTATTGTAAAATTTTTCTTCTTATCGATAAAATATTATCTCAGTTTAGCTGCAGCTTACACATAGCGAATGCAATCGGCACGGCATTGAGCTACGACGTGTACGTTTTACCATAATAACACAAAGGCGTACCTGCCAGTCAGCATTAATTTCGTTTTGGAATGGAGATAATATTACTATAATAACAATATAGATATTCGATTCACGTGTAAGAAAAGATAAAAAACGTAAACATGTTTATGGTTTGATTTTTCTATCAAGAACATTTTGAATATAATAATTACTAGTTAAATTTTTTATCATCAGTAAAATAAACTTATTTAATAATATATTTAATAGTATTAACTTGTAACCGTCCAGGATGTTACTTTCTAACGGTCATCTTCGCTTAGCCCAAAGTTGGTTCCCTTGGCCATTAGTGATTATCGTATATTTTATAAATTCATTACTCATTTGAGAACACTTAATTCAGATCGTTACATGAATAAATTAAACTACATATAGTAATCTTACCTGGGAACATTTTTTTAATTTTTGGTGTGTAGATTTACATAAGATAATGGACTTGATCAAATTTATTTATAAATATTTTTAAAAAAACTTTTGTTTGATATCAATAAAATTAATAAATACAAAAAAACATTATAAAAGCGACCGTCCCTAACAATTTATTTTTCATTCTTTTTTTTTTAAATGTTTTCTTCCTATAGATTGTCAACCAACTTTTCCTATATTGTTATTCAAAAATCCTAGAGCCAACTTCATTTTTTGTGGTGAAAATTAACAGTTTTACTATATTTGAAGTTATAAATATTCAATTAGGTTCCTGTTTTAATCAAACATATTATTTCATTAAAAAAAATAAATACTTGCAGGATATGCCGAAACATAGACCCATCTGTTGTAATTCTTTTGAAGAACCTCAGTTTTATGGTTATTAGTACGATATAATTGCTTACGGTATTTTAATTTTTTAAAATATTATTAATTATATGCTATAGAAGCTATATAATAGCTTCTATATTGGCAAAAGTAACATTCGACATTAAATCAGTGAAACCTTCGATTCTTAAACAGTGTTTATGGATAGTTAATTCAATTTCAAAAAATCCAGTCGATTAATACAATTACTAAGCAATATTTCGAAAACGCGTAATGTTCGTTGGAAATAACAATTAACATTTAATAGATAAGCTTCTTCTAATGCACGAACGAGTCATTGTATTTTTGGTGAAAAACGTAAAATGTCCGTTAACGAGTATCACCGACTCACATTTGACCTTCCTTCCCTTTCATTACACCACTTTTAATCTCGTGCTGTTTACACGTATCTGTAAATAAAATATATAATGTACGAAAAATGTATTTAGGAAATAAATTACATAATCGCTGTTCGAAATATATTACTAGTTATATGCGAAGATCAGAATTGAAAATTACTCTCGTAAATGCTATAAGTCATTATATCGCCATAGAGTGTTCATAAAATTGACTATAAAATAATATTATTGTTGTGACGTTGTGTGTTTGGACTATTTTGAAAACAAAAATCAGTGTGTGTCCATTAATCACTCTAAAAGAACGTTTTGGAATTCAGATTACACGCTTTAGTTACACCATACAATTGACACTTTTGCTTAATCACTTTAATAAGAAAAACCACAATTATTTTTTTTTTTTAATTTTTTTTTTTTAACATAATTCTAATTGTTTAAGCAATCTGTTACAATTAGAACAATAGGCTTAATATAATATATGAAATTTATATATTATATTAAGCCTATTTTATATTATACACGCATAAATCATGGAGTGAAGGAACCTCCCATTAGAGGTACTTCAATAAAGTAATTATTTTATCACACGTTTACGTTTAAATATTTAATTCATTTTAATTTTTTTAATTTTTAATGTACTTGTATATTCATAAGACTTTATCACGATACCACTGCCTTTTAAGTCTTTTTTAAGAATTATCTGGTATGGTTATGTAATTAAAGTAGGTTAGGCTAATAACTGGATGGGGTGGTAACTTAATCGGTTATTGTCAATCTAGGACAAATGGACGTAGCCGTTTAGACGTGGCCATTTAGACGTGGGAACAAATGGTCGCCAAAAAAAAAATATATATATAAATCAGTAAATAAAATAAATAAGTTATTTATATTTATTATAATATGTAAATTTTAATGTCAAAAATATTCATTCAAAAAAACTTCACCATCGCGATTTGAATTAATTAATGACATCTTACATGTACACTTGAATGCAATTTGACATGACTAACATGGTTATATATGTGTATTGTCATGTCTCGTGTATCACCGTGTTTTGATTAAGTGTGATAATTATTATAAAATGTAAAAACCAATAAGTTATATATATTGATATAAAAGGTACCTATTGCCAAAACGATAAAATTCGATAAGATTTGATATGATGATACGATACCATTAGTTATATTAATAGATAGTTATATTATGAACATAAAATATCAATGGGTTTATAACTTATAAATATATATATATATATATATATATATACTTTTTTTTTTGACGTTCATTTGTCCCCACGTCCAAACGGCGACATCCATTTGTCCCTATTCAGGTTATTGTAGTGCTCATAATAAAATTTGGCTAAATTAATGACTGCAGAGATCTTTAGATCAAAGTGAAGACACATATTAGATACTTAAAAAGGTAATTTAGAAATTTGGTGTAGCATTTTTGATTGAAACATTTGAATACGATTAGTATTTAAAATTTTTGCTGAGCTCTAAATATAGTTTTCCTAGGTTCATAGCTATTAGATTAATAAATTATTAGGTAATTTTATCATTTTGGAGTATATAAAGAATAAAGAAAGCGAAGTAGATTATTTAAACATGAAATTTTGGTTTTAAAGTGAATACCTAGGTATCGTAAACATTAGGCTGTAGATAGAAGTTGATAATTCAGGGAAAGGGTCTCGCATGTAATTTGACGGATAGTAAAAGTACAGAGAACTGACTAGTTTTAATTATTTTAACTTGCAATTTTTTATTTTAGGTTTCGAAAAATTTGAAGTTATTTTGAACATTAAGATAAACTTGATAGGGTTATTTGCTGCTGGTTAGGATAGTTTTTTCGTCCGAAAAATAACCCACTAAATTTGGTTGGTGTTTGGTTGATCAGAAATTAATGTTTTGAAAAGTTGTAGGGTAGCAACTGCAGCTTGATTATTTGTTTAATTAAAAATATTTTACAAATTCAACGAGAACAGCTGTGATGTAAATCTGCGGATGTAAAACAATTTATGAAAATCTGTAGTTGTCAAAATTAAAAATTTAAACGAATTAAATATACATTTTATATATAATTTTCTTGTGATTCTTTGAATTAATAAATACACACACACACACACACACACACACACACACATATATATATATATATATATATAATAACTGAAAATTCTTGAAACGTTAATAGTTTTATGAAACTATACGAAATAAAATAAAAGTGTGTGAGACAGAGAGGAGAGGGAAAATATATTCAAGATTTAATGAGCAAAATAAATTTCTCTTTTTCTACAAATGCCATTGTTTATAAACGAGTTATAGCCAAATTTGAAAATATTTAAAATAAAAATTGAGCTGAGCTATTTTATTGAAATCATTTTATTTAGTCGCACAAAAACAATATGTTTTATTAATTTTTTTCGATTCGTAAAATATAAATACAATTTTTCGGATGGTATTAAGATGAGAAAAAGTACTTATTGGTTATTGTATATTTATCCACCTATTTACTAAATGTTTTTCTAATTAGTTTTGTGCTGGAAATGTTGAATACTATTAAACAGTGTTTAATAAAACATTAACGCGTACCTTTTTTAGAAGCTTTGAAACTGTCTTGCTGAGAAACATATTCTATATCGTATACAAGCGTTGTATTTGGTAAAATTGCTTTATCCTTATTTATCCTGTAAACCGCATATTTGAAAGCTACTTCCGTAGTACTGTCTTTGTCTTCTTGAGTGAAAATTGCGCCTGAAAAAACAATTATGTTAAAAAGGGGTTATGAACATTATGAAAAGCTATAATATATATTAGGGTACCAAGCAAGGCAAAGAACTACTTCAATATACTTCACAGAGTTTACTACAGTAATAATTGAAGGTAGATGTTACTGAATACGATACTTTATTATTCGTTAGTTACGTTTGTGTGTGGGAATTGTATGGATTCGAAATGCACCAATACAAGATTGTGTAAGCAAACACAAAACGGATGCAAGTTAAACATAAGATAATTAAATTATATTTAAATCGCTATTTTAACATTTAAAATGCCATACTGTGCAAAAATAACGTATGCATAATTCTATTCCACGTGTTGTTTTCTTTTTTACGTTTAATTTTTTTCTACATTTTATATTTGTACAACAAAGATTTATAGTTTTAATGATCAGTTAACCACTTAAATAGATAGTACGCCCTTTTAAGATTGAAACTACATAATGAGTCAATAATTTAACTGTTGAACGTAGAGTAAATGTTGCAAATCGTTAAATTACCATAATGTGGATTTTTATCTTCCGCCTAAACGGTTATTATTGTACTACAAGCTCTGGCAACAAGTTTCTGTTCTAAAAAATGTTTTCTCATCACCAAGATTATAAACAATAAAATATGGTCGGTCATTTTATAATGGTATTATTCAAGTTATTATTTAATAGTTTTTATATTTTATACTGAATCCTTTTTTTGACTAATAGTTATTTTTCTTTCGGTGCAAATCAATTGTTTTGATGAATCATCTTCAATTACCGATTACTAAATTTTAGTAAGTTTTCCGTTAAAATATTTGATTTTCAAAAATCAACAACGAATTTTATAAGCTATTTTTTTTCTATTATATTTTTATTTTTGTGGTAAAACAAATAACCATATAAAAAGAATCATAATTTGGAACAATCAATAATCAACGAACGCATTAAATAAGTAAAAATAAAACGCTACAAAAGATTTCCATTTGTATTACCGATTTCATATTTAAATTTACAAAACATTTGCAACAATTTTTGCCCAAAGCACAGTTTATTTTAAATTAAATCGCCTTTTGGTATTTCATCATTGTCAACATTTTAAAAATTGTAACATGAAAGTGTAAACTACGGACTCGTGTGATGTCCGTTAAACTGTGGATATCAATAAACGTTGGTAGTATAATATAATATTTCTGGCATGCAAATGAATCTCTAACAATAAAACATTGTATTTCAATTTAGGTAAATTGTTACTCTCCGACTTCAACAAAGGGTTCACCTATAAAGTACAGGTAGTGTAATACGTGAGTTCAAATAATAATACCAATGATATACGTACTCGTACATAGATAAATACTTTTTCACATGAGTAGTTTTACGCTGTGTTTAGAAAACATATGCAAGATGTTAATCATCGCTTAGTCATTTTAATGCTATCGAACAACACCGCAGTGCAGCGGTATGGTTCAAGCGCGCGGGTTCGAACACGATACCCACGAGGACGGATCACCACTCAAAAAATATTACATCATGGTTGTTGGGTACAGTTCGATAATTGACGAAAATAGTCTTGATTTTTCTAGAATATTCGAGACGGACAGGTACAGTACGTCTCCTTATCATAGATATTGTCTTGATTTTTTTAGAACTAACCTATCGCTACACCCGGCTTCTAATCCGTTGACGACTGGCTATAAATTCACCCCATCATTACCAGGTAGACACAGTTTATTTTAATCGGTTGCTCGATTATATTATTAGTGTCTTGTTCAGTTTCTCTTTTTTTTTTTAATACGTTGGTTGTTGTCGCGTTTTAAATATTAGAGATGAGTCATATTGTTCATTAAGGTGAACTAGTTCAGTCGTTCATCGTTCATATATTTGACAATCCGTTCGTATGAATACGTATTCCGTATCAAAGAATTGTCCATGAACGAACTAGTTCAATAATTATAACTCTGTATCAACGAATCGTTCATGAACAATTAAGGTACTAGCTCGTACAAAGTGAACGGTGAACGGTGAACGAGTCATTCATCAAAAGTGACCTAGTACGAAACCGGTCACTTAGGTGAATAGTTCAATTGAACTAGTTCGTTCATGAATAATGATGAATTTCTAATAATAAAGTTTTATAATTTAATACAGTCCAATTTTTTCTTTGATATTTTATATCCGGTGCCAGTTAAAGTGTGGTTACCTTGACTAATTTTGGATTCAGGACCTCGCTCAAACAAGGGTTCTTCGACGTCAACGTTCACCAACGACCGAAATATCTCACGACGTCTAGGTTAACTAATCTAACTAATTTCGATCACCTTATTACGGTTTCTTTAGAATCATGATCATCAGAATATCATTGTTATAATTTATACATATTTATGCTGTTTTAGGAACAACAATAATGCAACAGTTATGTAGCCAGATTGCTTATATAGATCGCTGGCTGATAGTCATTTTTGTTCAATTGTTTACTATACAATTGTCGTAACAATAATACATTTAATACATATTTGAGCGTACAAATACAAATTAAGGTCAATCTTTTCATTTGCATTTACAATATATTGTCAATTTTTAATAGAAAAGTATTCCCCCAAAAATATTTATCATGTAATACGGACATTATTACCGTTTTTGAATTTTTAATGTTTTTTTTTTTTAGTATTTTTAAAATGTATGTGATTTTATTCGGCTGGAAAATATTTACATAGAATAATCAAACATTAAGATATAGTTTAATTTTTTCGATGTTACAAAAAGAGTTAATACAAAACAATATTGTGATCATATTATTGCACACTTGTTTTCAAAGAGAGCTATTTTTAAGTAGCTTTCTGCTCTACCTAACTTCAACGATGTAATATTTTGTTGCTATGAATTGATTATGCGTACCATATATGTATTGTATATGATGATATGTGACTTGTACTGTACATATTTATTATATGTTTGTTTTCCAATGTTTATTTATAATATATATATATATATATATAGTATTATATGTTTTCTCTTCGATGTGTTAGTTGACACACGTTGAATTCAATATTTTTTTTATCGTTCAAATTAGTTATTTGTTCTGAATAATAGTATATTCACAATAATATCAGTTCCATCTAATTTTGTTATTCGTCGTTTACCGTTATTACTCATTAAGCCAAGTTGGAATGTCTTTAACGAGAACACGACTTCACAGAAGTCGTATATTATATTTCTATAAAAAATATGCAATTATTCGTATTTATATTTTCGTTACTAAAAAGATAATCGCAACTCATCCTCTCCCTCCCAGTAAATAAACTCCGACTTACTCAAATTATAATATTATTCAACAGTTTGTTGAATATTTCTACTAGAACTTAAAACAAGTATTACCCTGAGGGAGTTGTAAATATTTAATCCGTTCTTCGTGTTAGAATTTTTTTTCTCCAAACAAAAAGTTTGATTTACAACTAGTTGGAAAAACTATTACGAAAACGGACTTCAAAGCATAAAATAAACACAATAGACGTATTGTTTGAATATAAATGATAGAATTCAGTGATCCTAACGCAGTAATCGTCCTAACAAAATATCGGGGTTTTACTAATAACATTACATTTAATTTATTTTGGACAAGAATATGAATGTGGGTATACGAGTAATCATAGCGATTTTATGACAGTTAATAATTAATTTGAGAATTTTATATTTTTATGACTGATACATGATTATTTATTGTACAGTTAACAATGAAAGTACAATATTAAAAATTCGTATGTTTAAGAAACGAAAAACAATGGGCATCTAGTCTGTTTCACGACTGTATATGTGAGGGGAGTTTTATTGTGCGAGTGATATAGAGGAAAATGTATCCACCTTCTTCGGCCGGTCGATTAAACGACTTGGCCTTAGACCGGCCCATTACGTAACTTGTAAATAAATGATGATCTGCTGGGCTTTATTTCCCTTTTAGAGTATTTTACTCTCCACAGAATCGACTAAACAACACATTTTTATAAAAATACATCATCCATTATCAAATTATTTAGATAGTTTTCAGCATACCGGAAAAAAATGTATAAATTAAATAAAGTCAGTGTTATATTATAATTTTAATTCTAATTGTATACAATTTTAATGCGAAATACGTGTTTGATGTTATTTGCAAAATAGTCAATTTGACGAGGAATCGACAACAAACATGGTCACATTTTTTGTTCAATTGATAATAGTTATTATCTTTTTTTATTTATAATATTAGTTAAAATGGAACCCAAGTTTATGGAAGCTTTATATAGGAAATGTTAAGAACGTATTTATTTATTTTTTTGCAATTATTGAATAATATATATTTATTAAACTCCAAAATTGAAAATTTCAAGAACGGTCTAACTACAATTCTAAAAGTGATTCTTATTCTATTAATCCTAGATGAGTTATAGTTTATGTTATTGCCGGAAGATTGCGAACATAATCATATTTGTTAAGTGGCAAAGATGGAAAATATTTCTTTATTTTTTATTATAAAATATTAAGAAAGTTATCAATCAAATAAGAAGTTACTTCTCTATCTCGATGAATATTTTCTGTTAGTGGTATAATTTGTTTTATTTCTACTCGCGTTGTCTAAAGATTAATATTTCATTAAGAATCATAAAAAATCGTTAAATATAATTTGATTATGAAAGAAAAATAATATTTTAAAGATATAATATGACGGATATGATATTTGAACTATAGATTTTATTATATTTGAAAAACTTTTAAAACTGCGTTTCTCATTCACGTCTATGTTTTTCTTTTCCAAAATGAATTACTGTATATTTGGAAAATAGTAAATATTTTTCCATAGTATGCCGCAATCGAAAAGTGTTAGGGGATCACTGATTTACGCTGATATACGACGTGAACGATGGGAAACTACTGACCATTCGAACTTTTGGACTTTTTCTTTTTCAACTGACAACTTAATTTTGTGTAGGAACTGTTCAATTATGAACCCACCTGTATCAAATTTCAT